GAAACCTATCCTCCACTGAAATCATTGACAGGACCTGTGTATAAATTGTTCAAGTGTCTTGTATGTTAATTTTTTGTACTGGCGTGCAGTTCCTTAAAGAGATGAGACAGGTTTAGTGGAATTCATGTTTTATAAAAGAGCCACTTTTAACCTTGGGATTGGGAAGCACTTGGAGATTATTTATTGCAAATCAACATCACAAAACAGCAGTACTTCACAAGGAAAGCACATCATTCAGCATAATTGTGAACAACAAATGGATGTTGGTTAACGTGCTGCATAGTTTTTGAGTCTTATGATGAAAATTGGAGACCTGTAATATTCAGGTAGACCAGCTTTATTAATAAAGGCTTAACATTAAATAATTTTCAGCCTCCAAAGTGGTCATATATCAGAATTGAGATGCTCAGACTTGCTCAGGATAGGTTTTTGCCTACCACAAAAATCTTTTCATCACATGGCAATTAATTATTTGTGTTTTAGGGAATTTGCAGACTCCAAGACTGGAAATCTTTGCAATCACATACAACATCCTCATGACATGGCAGCGGCAATACAAAGGTTAGTCCTAAACTTCAGCCCAAAGCCAACAGCTGTCCTTAGTTTAAGAAAACTTCTGCCTGTCAGATTTCAACACAGACAGCAGAAAGCGCGAGGTATATGTGTTCTGCAAAGAACATTTTCTTTTCAGTGTGTGTCCTCCCACTTTGCTACAGTTCCTATTAGTTTTATTTTTCAAACAACAACAATTTCTCCCTTACCTACAGGTACCTGGGGACTGGCACCAGCTCTTTATTTCAAGATGACCAGAGGGAGACAAAACAAGTGGCAGGCACAGTTGTTGTGGAGATTATATCTATATGTTGATCTCTGGGAAAAGGACTATAGATGCTTGTATACCCTTGCAGTATTACCAGTCTGATTTATGCAGCTAACCTCTATAACACACAAAATACCTAATACAAAATGCTGCTAACTGAATCAAGCAGATCACTGTGCCTTTGCTCCATCCATCCCATGTTTAAAAATAAGCTGTTGCAATCTAATACTCCTACAGTCTAAACCACCAGTGACTGAACAAACAAGCAAGGGAAAAAAACAGTTTAATAAGTGGTATATATAATGCATAGGTTGTGGGCTGGTTTTTTGGGAAGCTGTGAATGCAGTCATCAGATTAAGTTTGAATCTCTAACAGTAGGCATCTAAATCAACACAGGTTCCCTTGATAGAAGCAGAGATCTATTTGTCTAGTCTAGAAGCAGGTGAGGAAAGACCCGCATTGGTATTCTGCAGTTGTAACAGAACAGATCCATTCCAGAACTTTTGGAGAACTTACAGAGGAAATCTCAGATGTTCATAAAATTATATGTATTGTTTGGGGTAGGTGCAAGTTCTGTAAAAAAGCATTTAATGCTTTTAGCATTTAATTAGCTAAGCTGGAAAGAAGGAGGATCTAAATGACAGATCTCTTAAGAACTTAAAGGAAGATGATAATGAATCATGCAGAAGCATCAGGCTAAAGGGGAATCAACCATACTGTGGAGTACCTCCACAATATCTTCATTTATAATTTGGTAAATAGAAGAAAGTAGGTAACGAAATTTGCAGAGGAGGTCAAGCTGAGAGATGTCAACACAGTGAAGTTGAGAATTTCATAAAATGAGGTGATCTAGAGTAATAGTGCAATAGAAACTGGATCAAGTTTGATAGTAACAAATGCAAGATCAGGTAATTGAGGACTATTAAATCTGCAGCTATGCGCTAAACAAGGTTAGCTGAAAATTACCAAGGAGGGGAAAAAAAAAAAAGACATTAAGCTGTATTTTGTAGCAGTGGACTCAACATGACAGTGTTTGGCATTTTGTCTAGTATCTAGACCTCCAATATCTATGTTTCATTACCTCACACATTTTAGAGCATGGAATACCATGAAACCAAGGAAGCCTTCAAGTCTTTTTCTTAGAGGGTGTTACAGAGTAGACCTACTAAACATTCAGATCACACTGAGCTAGGTCTATCAGTCAAACAAAAGGGCAAAGGAAGGACATGCTTTAGCTGGAGCTTTATGAAAGACTTACGGCTTTCAGTAAGATACCCCAAAGTTGTTTTCTGCAGCATATTTCAAATATATTCAGAGGTGGATCTGACCTCCACAGGTTGATGATGCTTCCACTTGGCAGCTGATTGGCTCATTATTTTTACTCTCTTGAGCAGAATAGGGAAGACTCTATTGTTGCGTAGAAAGATTTTTAATCAAGATGTGCCATCATCCGTCTTGATCTTTAATATGCTGGATCAGCTCTTGACTTACGAAGAACTGTACTGGCAAAAAAAGTGGTTTTTTCAGGCCTGAATAGAGGACACTTCCTTTTTAGTCCGGTTGTCTACCAAAAGAAATTCACCTTCAAGCATGACAAGAAACTTCATGTTCAAAAAACCAGTGGTTTCTTTGATAGTGTCTTTGATAGTCTTTGATAGGGAAAATATAAATCATTACATTTCAAGTAAAATTTGCAGCCATGAAGATTTTAAACAGATTTTAAACTTAACCAAAACATGATAAAAGTCAGAAATTTTACCATAACCATTTCTTCTGTGATGCATATGCTTCTTAGTTTTGGGTGGAGATTGTCTTAACAAGAGCTGGAGGACTTGTGGAGAGTCACAGTGGCTGAAGCCTTCTATATCCACAGCTCCCACCAGCAGTAGAGGATGAGCAGAGCAAGGGAGGCATTTTTGAATCAGACTCCATGAAGCCACATGCCACCACTGGAAGCTGTTGAAGACAGAAATGCTTTATACTTTCTTTATGGAGTAATAAAGACAAAGCTGTAAATAACTTCCCTCTGGGTATGCCTGTCTAGAATTCATGCATTATTGATGGTAGAAAAGATAATTTCTGCATCCTCTTTAGGGACTAGTTTCCCAAATATTTCACAGTAAATTAAATATATTGTTTCAGAAGAAATCAGCCTTTTATAGCTGTGTTATCTAGAGAAAAGCAGCTACAGTTGAACAAGCTATGGTACAGAACAGACAGGGCAGTTTCTTTCAGTTTGTTCCAGTTGTTTTAAATCTGCAATCTTCATTTCCCTGGAAATCCACTGACTGTTTTGGGGAAGTCCACAAAAGATGAAAACGAAAACCATATTTTCAGGCACTCTCTACAGGCCCAGAGCCTCCAAAGATGGAAGTTCCCCAGACTCTCTGGCCATCACTGTTCATGTCTGAGCAATCAATTGATGAATTTTTTTTTTCCGTTATACCTAATGAAAAATGCAATTTCTGTGCATTGCCTCCTGTGGCTATCACTGTGCACCTCCACGAGTACGGCTCCATCTTCAGTGCAACATGCCATTGGGTAGCTGTGGAAAGGCATACGGTTTCCTCTCAGTCTCAGCTTATTAATAAAAACAAATAAAATGTACTTGAGTACATATCAAATCCATGAATGAAGAGAAGCTTAAAGGAGATGTGATCTCTATTACAATAGCAGAAAACTGCATTTTATGTACTCATTTATGATGTCCTTAGTCACTACAGCATTGCTTGTGCACACTATACCAACAAAGTCCATTCTACTGCACATTCCTACCAGCTGCCCCAGATCCACAGAATGTGTTGCTTCAGCTCTGATATATTTTGTGAAAGTATTCTGCCACCTAAAGGAGATATTTGACACAATGACTTTTAAAATAATTGTTTTGCCATGATGAATTGAAGTCATATGTAGTTTTCCCAATTTTATTTTTAAGATTAAAAAGATTCAGTTCTGAAACCCTGAAACTATTTCTCCCCAAAACAGTCAATCTTTACTGGAATTCTTTAATTTCAGTAGACTTCATGGCCTCACTCTCAGTATCTCATTTCCCCATTTTTTAAATGTAAATGTCCTAGAATTAAAACAGTATTTTAAATTTTAGTCGGTGGCTCCTATGTCTTCAGAAATTGCTGCCATTTTTTCAAGGCCTCAGGCTCCCACTGAAAATTAATTTCTTTCATAACATTTAAAACAAACTTCTCCATGCCCTTTGGCATTCTAAAGAATTATTGCTTTATTGTTAATTTAGAAATGTAGAATTTCTGAGAGGTTAGCTGAAGGGAAGAGAAAGGTTAATTAAAAGTACTCTAAACCCTGATCTTAGACATGCATGTAAATATAGAGATGTACAGATAAAGATATGGAAAACTCTTCAGTTCCCTGACATATGGAGTAGTTCATTAAACCAGCTAATTATAACAGATCTATTATTCATGTTTTCTCCTAATGAGCCAAACATGTTTTGCATTAATTCTATTACCATAGCTTCCTCATTCTCAACAGAAAGCATAGAATCACAGAATCAAACAATAATTTAGGTTGGAAAAGACCTTTAAGATCATCAAGTCCAACCATCAACCTAACCCTGCCATCCCACCACTAAACCATGACTCTAAGCACCTTGTCTACCCGTCTTTTAAATACCTCCAGGGATGGGGACTCAACCACTTCCCTGGGCAGCCTGTTCCAGCATTTGATAATCCTTTCAGTGAAGAAATTTTACTTAATATCTTATCTAAACCTCCCCTGGTGCAACTTGAGGCCATTTCCCCTCATCCTATCGTTTGTCACTTGGCAGAAGAGCCCGACTCCCACTTCTCTACGACTTCCTTTCAGGCAGTTGTAGAGAGCAATAAGGTCTTCCTTCAGCCTCCTTTTCTCCAGGCTGAACACCCCTAGTTCCCTCAGCTGCTCCTCACCAGACTTGTGCTCCAGACCCTTCATCAGCCTGTTGCTCTTCGTTGCCCTTCTCTGGACACACTCCAGCTCCTCAATGTCCTTCTCATAGTGAGGGACCCAAAACTGAACACAGTATTCAAGGTGTGGCCTCACCAGTGCTGAGTACAGGCAAAAGATGACTTCCCTGGTCCTGCTGGCCACACTATTCCTGATCCAACCCAGGATGCCATTGGCCTTCTTGGTCACCTGGGCACACTGCTGGCTCATATTCAGACAGCTGTCAACCAGCACCCCCAAGTCCTTTCCAGCCACTCTTCCCCAAGGATGTAGCATTGCATGGGATTGTTGTGACCCAAGTGGAGGACCAGCACTTGTCCTTGTTGAATCTCATACAATTGGCTTCAGTCCTTCGATCCAGCCTAGTAATTCTTACTGCAATACAATAATAAAATAAACGTATGTTTGGCTACACTATGTTACTATCACTATATGCTAATATTTATCAATATAATGCATATTTCTTATATGTTTTTCAATTTTGTACACATTTGCAAAATCTCAAACTTAAGTGACTAAAACATTCCCAGAAAGAACTTTTTCATTCAATATATAACATAAATTACAATTCAGAATTAAAAATGCATTTAATGATTCTTTTTTTTTTTTTACACACTGGAGTAGTATTTAGACTTTTGTGCTAGGCCATTAGGCAATTACTTGCACTGAGATCCAGTTTTCATGCTTGCAAAGAAATAAAATTAAAGCCTCCCTTAGTTTTATGCATATTTCAATAATCAGAATTCTAAATAAGTCTGTGAAATAGCTAAGTGATTGCAAGAATATTTAGCTGAGTTTAACCCATGTTCTTTCTTCCAGAATCAATAATCAGTGGTCACATAATCCATATGATCCTAGGAGGCATTGCTTCTGTACTTTTCAGGTTTGGTCTCTATTGCCTTCAGTGAGGCAAAATGCATTATTTATCCAAGATACCTGGAAGAAAACAATCCATTCTTGCCCCAAAATTTAAGAAAAAAAACTGAGTGGATGTTTAATATTCATAGACATTACAGGCAAAGGTAGCACATATAATTCCAGGTTTCTGAATTTCTTCTTCAGCAAATTAGTTTGTTTCTTTATTCTCTGGTACGTTTTCGCAATGCAGAGATGAAAATCAGTCTGTATTTTCTGATGATCAAAGCAAAATGTCTACATTAACATTTTGTATTAGTGACTTTCAACACCTCATTTTTTAAAAGCTTATCAACACTTTATATTACTAAAACAATCCCATTTCATATAAACACATCAAAGTTTTTCTTAAAACTGTATCGAAGTTACTCATTAATTCCTTTAATAATCTATGTTTTGTAGATGTTGGTTTCTGCTTTTCCTTAAAATCAAGGAAACTATACTTTGTACCCCTATCTCTATTCATTTCATTTTCATGGTGTCATCCACTCAACATGAGGGGAGTGGTTACTTTTTCCTCTTCTCTTTTTTGGCATAGGTGTATTTTTTTCAACTAAAACAGAACACTTTGCATAGCTTCTTCTTTTGGCCATCTTCATGCAGTTGCTTTAAGCTTTTTTGATTATGGAAAGAAGTCAGACATAAAGTAAAGAAATCAAGATCCTCCTGAAACTGTTTATTTGTCATACCAAGTCCCACCAAGGAAATCAATGAGCCAGAACAGTCTTTGGGAGAAAGTGAAAGTACTCGGTAGTAATATCAACATTATGCAAACATCCGCACCATTTTTTTTGTTTGTTTGTATTGCACACAATTTGTATACGGTTGAGAAATGTACATCAACTCCATTGATCTTCAGACTTCAGCGTGACATCAGCTGCTATCTGGATGAGATGATAAATACTTGTAATGCTCAACAAATGGAAAGGATCTTGTATAAACTCCTGACGAAGTGTCAACAAATATGCAGTGCAATTATAATTGATAGGCACAGGCTTCTGGGGCGACCTGGATTCTTTCAGAATACCTTTTTGCTAAAGACTGAAAGTTGCAGTATTACTCTACATCATCACATCTGTTTTTAGAAGCAAGATTTCAACACTTGCTGTTTGCACAGAGAATGGCACAGAGAAGTCCTGACAGGAGCAGGCTCAATAGCAGTTAGAGAGAGATACAGACTGCCAATCAGCTATTTCTTTCTGATGAGGTCTGAAATCTTTCATAAGGGATTTCTTTAAGAACTGTGATTTTTCTTAATTAAGTTTATCAGTGTTTATTGTTTGAAACAAAAAACTTCCAAGCCCCTTTATTTATATTTGTGATCCCATTTTCATACTGTTGTCTTTTAAAACCCCTTTCTATACCTATCCTGGTGGAGAAATTTTTTTAGAAAGCTGCATTCAGTAACATGTTAAAGTTGACTGGAAGTGTTGTAAGGAAACGGAGCAAAAGGAAAACGAAGCTGACTACCAGGGAACAATCCCCATCAGTGATGATAAATAGGCAGCTGTAGATATACAATAAGAGAATAGGGGAAGTTTCCTCATAAAAGCTGGTTAAAAGAGGAATGGATGAAGCCATGGAACTGTGGAAAACCACCCTGTATTTCAAGATTGAGGGCTCACTTAGCTCTTTTCTTTTTTCTACAGGCCAAACGTTGATATCTTTTTTAGCGTAAATGCCACGCTATTGTCTGTGGGAGTTATGCTTGTGTAAGGGCATCTGGGTTTTACCTTACGATTCTACAGACCCAATTCAGCCTGGGCATGAATGAGCATAATTACTGTTGACATCAATGAGGTGAGACCTAACATAGCGCATGGCTTAATTGGATGATGGGATTTGCATTTCCCATGTATGCAAGCACTGCTCAGTGGCACACAAGTGTGCTTAGAATATTATCAAGCATTAAGCTTAGGTTTGTATGCCTACAGTGTCTGGAATAAATGGTTGTACATTCATAACTAAAGTAAAAGCCAGCTTGGATACTGCTGCTTTTTTTTTTTTTTTTTTTTCAGATTCCTGAAAGGACAGGAAGAACATTTATCTGTTAGGGGTCCTTTACTACAGATAGAATAAGCAGCCCTCCAGTCTATGAATATCCTAAGATCTCTGGGAGTATCTTAGAAACTCACAGTCCTCTTCAATTCTTCCCTGGATATCTCTTATGACTTGAATTCCCTGAAATCCCAGTAGGAACCATAGAAACACAAAAAAATTTGCATTGCTCAGCCTTGTAGAGTACAACTTAACTACATAGATAGAAATATTTGCAAGTCATATTTGCCAGCTTCACTGGAAGGCACAACTGTCTGCTTAACCCATCACAGCAGAGTCTGCAAGACTCTGACTACATAAAAAAGACAATGTAAAAATAACTCTGTGTCTTCTAGCAAAAAAATCACTGTGGCAGAAAGAGCACGGCACAGTCAAAGAGGTGGATAATTGGTCAGGTCACTGCTTTTCTGCTCTTTATAAATCAGCCAAAAGGAAGCCCTGTCTGGCCATTCTGTGCAGTCCATGGCTATGATTTTTAGGTTTTGTGTCTCCCTTGTGTCGCCCCTATTCCTTTGCATACAATTTGAGATATAACACAGCACAGTCCAGGAAGCACAAGGGCAGCAACAGAATATCTAAGCTCCCAGCTAGGATGGAATCATAACGCTTTTCTTTGCAGCTCTTGCTCTGTCTGCCAGCTATTTGTGAAGACTGACTGCTCGTTCACCTTGTGAGCTGCTATTTCACAACTCGGACAAAGCTGTTCATATTGCTATTACAATATTGCATTGTGCCACATAAAAGAGTACACAAAGAAGGACTGAGAGTAGTACAGATAGGAAGATCAGCTAGAAGGAAATACTAATGCAGACTGAGCTCTGATTAGCTAGCATAGATTTGCAGCTTCCGACAGAACCTCTCTGAGAGGGGAGACCAGGTCTTAGTGATCTCCTCCACATGACTTTCCAACATGACATGAAGAATGAGATCAGGCAGCCCCTGAAAATTGTGTCCCTTCCAGTCACTGTCTGGTGGAAGCTGGAGTTTTCTGTCATGAGCACAGGATTTTAGCGTTCCACAGCTTTCCTGTGTGCTCCTTGGCACCTCTCAGATGCCCCTGAGAAATGTGCATGTATGAAAGCATGACCCTTCTTGAGCAAGAAACAAAAGGAGAAATGTAGACATTCTCTTCCAGGTCCCTGGGATCCTCAACTGGGATTGTTTCACCTGCCTCCTGAGTTTGATGGTGATCAGGTTTAAGGCAGAGCCCCTCTGAGCTGAGCCTACTACAGGCTGCTGGTGAGAGTCCTAGCCCAGAGAACCAAGAGAGTCATGAAGTAAGGCAATGAAGAGAAGGTTGTGAGTATTTACAAGCATCACGGAGTTAAGTGATTTGCCCATGTTCAGGTGGAAAGTTTGGAGCAGAGCTGGATGGGATCCAGGACCACTCCCTCCTGGCCCAGTGTCTCCACTGTGACTGTCCTTTGCTCTGCTGAATGCACCAAGGCAGGTTAATCAGTTATCCTGACTTCTGGGGCTGTCAATACCATAACAGTAATAGCAATAGTTAAAGTGTCATCCTTTGGCACATCCACTTTATTTGTCCATGCAGGAGCTGGTCTGTGAACTGGGGATGTAAAATTCTGGAAAGAGAAGCCTGCTAATTGCAGGGTCACTGTCCTTTGCTGGAATTTCTCTGTGTCATTTTATGACTTCTAAGCAGAGGTAAGAGAGAAATAGTGGATCTATGTCCTGGTAATACAGCCATCCTGAACTTAAAACTCACAAAAATACACTTAATTTCTGGTTTAAATATGTATTATGAATGCTTTTGTATCTTGGTAGTGCCTAGAAGTGATTAGGGGCCCTCATGGGCCCTGAGAAACAGGCGCTGTTGCATGGGCTGTTGGCAGACTTCACAGACATTCAGCACCTATTGATTTCATTGGTCATTTAGCATTTCAGAGATGGGTTCGTGGGTCCTGAGTGAGGACTTCCAGCTCTTGTACTGCTATTTCAGAACAGGGATAGGTGCCTAAATTCAGCCATCTAATTTGAGACAAAACCAAACAGCAATGACAAAAAGGAGATATGAAGGGAGAAACATGGGATCTGTTATAATTCTGTTTATGTCTAGATATCTTTCTGACCCTATGTTTATTTTTATTTAATAAGGACATGTTCATGCTCCCAGAAGTCAAATTATGGCAGTGCAGTTAAAACATTTCTTTCCTTCTTGTAGCGGTCATGTTTGTTGTAACTATTCTTCCTCCTCAAGGATGACAGATATTTTGATGTCCTTGTCATGGTGTTTTCTTACAAAGTTGCAA